TATAGATACATACGAATGAAGAATCATAGAGATAGATGGAAAGACATGTAAGGGAAAGGAAGAGAGAGAGAAAGGAAAATGTCGACTAGGTGTGGACTGACTGAATGATTGATAGATAATGGTGGGTGGATTTGAAGGACGTTAGTTACGCACACACATAACATACATACACGGTGCTGCGGTGTTGCTGACGTTGGTTGGTTGGTTAATCGTAGTGTCTTTTGTTTCATTTCAAACTGTTGCATCCATTACGTGATTGAAACGTGAACTTTGCTGTTCATTAATTCACATTGTTAAATGTTGATTCAACTTCTGTTGTGTTGCCGTATAACTCTATCGCACATTTATTTTTACTGTTATATTTAAGTTACGTTATCAGTAAGAAGCAATACGTTACATTGAATGTTGTGCATATTTAAGAATAAATATATGGATAATTTTAATCCTTGATGGCAGTTAATGTTTTCGTTTCTTTTCCGGAAGGATAAAAATACTTTATTTGTGCTTATCTTTTTTGATAATCATATTTATATGCCTCATTGTATTTCATAATTTTTCCATTACAATTATTGAATGTGTCGGCTGATAGTGTTTAAAAATGATTTCGAGAAATTCGATACGTAAATGAAGATACATTAAGGAGCGTTAACGCCTATTGCATTATGGTTCTCTCACTTGGGACTTGTTCTATCTTGTCATCAGTTTGACATTTTTTCCTTCTGTGCTTTCCATTTTCATGGTATATTCGAGTTAACTTTGATTTGAAATAGGAGAGAGCAGATAGAGTTGATAGCGTGTAAGAAAATAAGTTTATCATCTTCTCTTTCATGTATTTTGTTGAAGAGATTTCACTGGATCAAGTTTTCAAGGTTATCCAATTTAACCGTGCTTGTTGCCAATGCTAAGGAATGGAGATTAAACATTAAAAATATTACTCACAGGTTAATTCTTTCGTCACAGTTGGTTGCCTGCTCTATTTCATTATTCTTATACAGAGTTCTTAATTGTAATTATTATTGAAGAATTGTAGGCATTTCGTCACTATATCATTCTCTATTGTACAAGTTCTATCACCGTATGCTATTATCGTAATGAAGTTTTTTGTTGTTCCTCTGTTCCAGTTGTTATCTATCCATTAAATAATATTCAACAGGAAATGATTCAATACTTTTTTCAATTTAAATGGTAATACTATCAATACATGTTGCTAGTACTGTAAATTGCAATCGAACGTTACATAGTTTTGAATTCGTTCGTTCGTTTTCTTCTTCGGTTTACTGAGCTAAGGGATGGAAATGAAAATGATTCATTGCAGTATACGTTGTGAAAATGGACGTATATGGGAGACAAGTAAACTTTGCTTGATGTTTGTGATAGTTAGTTATGCTTTGTTGAATTTTGGAGTTATTAGTGCTTCTCACGAAACTGTAAAGTTTCTTTTTTCCCAGAGAATATTTTGTTTTCAAATTTCTTCAAATTAAATTTCATACTAAGGAAGATTAATGAAATATGGATTAAGGTTTAGATGTGTTTCATTTAAATCTTGCTGGTTCGTTGTTTAGGTTTTTGAACATGAAAATTCTACATGACGAAGTACTGTGAGAGAAAATCAGCCTCTTCATGTAATTTCTGAATCAGGGAGCTCTTTTGAAATCTTCCGGTTCATTTATAAGGATAATAGAAAAGAGAGATTTACCAACTCTTTTACATATGTGAAATTTTAAAAATGACTATTAATGAATGACGGTCCATATTTTGCTTCAGTCTATATATCAGTTAGCTGAACGAATTCAACTAATTTCCTCTTTCAGTGTTAGTTGAAGAGGCATAATTAAATGGCAGTGGTGGCTAACTCGTTGTTTTTAACAATAACTAGTTGCGGAGGGTGGGGAATTGCTTTTCCTTATTGTTGAACTATCATTGTTTTTCACATATGTTCTTCACGAATTGCAGCATTGCACTTTGCAAGTCAAATTTTCAAATTAAAATAATTGCTAAATGCATGAGATAGTTTCTAAAATTGTGGTTTGATCGTTTATCTCAGAATGTCACTGCAAAGCCTATTGTTGTTTTGTTTTGTCATTTTAATTTATATATATCAAATAACCAGAAGGTAGATGATAGTGAAGGTTTTAGAGAGTTATATGAAACAACTTTTAACTTAATTGAAACATTTTGTATTATCAGTTCTCAAATTTACTGTAGAATGCGTTCGCTATTTTACAACAACCATATCACAACCATAAGGTATAAATCTTAATATGAAGAAAAAGGGTGATGGAAAGCTTGGAGAATGTGATTTAGTGATAAAATAAATCACTGAAAGCGCTAAAACTACTAACAAGCGACAATTTAGCATCTGACTTTTCATTGGCCTGTTAAGTGACTATGATTCTTAGCGATGATTCTTTTGGCTTTGTAAATTCAAAGCCAGTGGTTGTAATTAAGGTATTATCAATATTAACGAGCAAAAACGGCTGGTGCAGCTATTGATTTGTTTTAGTGTTATTCAGCAGCTATTGTTTTAGTGTTACTCAGTGATGGTGATAGATTCTTTGTAGAATTTCTGGCTTACGGTTAAAAGCTGTAAGTCACATATAAATTACAGATCTTATTCAATTTATTCGTAATTAATGCTTGTATTGCTTCATGTTTTATTTTCTTTTTTAGTTGACTGATATATGTTTGAGGATGAGACAAATCATCAATAGGTAGTAAGTTGAAAGGTATTTCCTAAAAGGAAGCTGGCTCCTTGAGGCGCTTTTTCAGCAATTTTTGTACGTTCGTTTCAGATAAGTACTGATTTTTTTTGCTTCGAACGATTTTCTTGCCATTTTACGTTCTATTTTTTCCTTGATCATTAATTACACCAAATAAGTATGTGAAATTTCAGTTCACTTGGTGTATATTTTGTGCTTTTATCCTACCACTATTTTCCAACCAGCAACGATGTCTTCACTTCTACCGATCAAATTTCAAGAACATGTCTTGGCAAGTTTATCCACTCCAATAGTTTTTTTCCGCAGCTCTGTCGTTATCGTTTGATAAAGAATGATATAATTAATGTCTCATCTACCGTCACAAAATAAGCAAACGAAACTCCTACATTATATTTACATTCTTTCTTCTTTTGGTTTCCTTTATCATAAAATTCGTGATCCACTAGTTATCATTTCTTAGCAACATATTTTGAAATGTAGATTTTCTGTACAGAAGATACAAAAATTGACTTTAAAGTCTAATAATGCAAGATTAACTAATATAAAATCATGTATTTAGAAACGTACAGACACACATTCGTTTGATTATTTGGTTTCGAGTGCAACTTTTTTTAGTTACAAAGTTTGGGTATAAATGCAGCAAATATTGGGTTTGCAACATTAACGATGGAATCAGATAAATTTATTGTTGTGAGGGAAAAAGTTGGTGAGAATGCTCAAGTTGTCATTATTGCTATGAATGACGTCAATAATCCTCTTCGCCGACCAATCACTGCTGATTCGGTAATCATGAATCCTGCAACGAAAGTTCTAGCTTTGAAATGTTAGTTTTATTGATAAGGCCTTATTGTCTTCTAATTAGCTATATCACAGAAGAATTTTGCCCTTTAAACCGTTCTGTTAAAATAACTGAGGATTTGTTCAGCATCTCGTACTCTTCAAATTTTCAACATTGAACTGAAAGCCAAGATGAAAGCATATAATATGCCAGAAGATGTGATCTTTTGGAAATGGATCAATGTCAATACGATTGCATTGGTGACGGAAATTGCTGCATATCACTGGTCACTTCAAGGTTAAATTTTATTTTTTCCTTTAAGATTACAAGATCTCTGGTCATTTGATGCGATGTACTTTCGCGGATGGTAATAACTATGTAATTTAGTTAATCACATATGGATTTTCGGAAGAAGCTGTGAGATTACTTTATGTAATCTTTTCCCTAGTTAAGTTTCATTGGTTTGTTTGCAGATTCATTTTATATATTTCGTAATTCAATTTGCAGGTGATTCGCCTCCTGTAAAAATATTCGAAAGGCATTCAACATTAAGTGGATTCCAGATAATCAACTATCGAGCAGATGCGGAATGTAAATGGTTGTTAGTGATTGGAATTGCTGCTAAGGTATTACCTTTTTATTGTCATTTGCAATAAAAAGGTTATTAAGGATGTACAACAATTTTGTATGTCATTAAGTCCTTGTGAACGTGTACGGATTCTTATCTTAGTTTTTGCAAAATAATTCTGGGTTTTTCTCTCTGAATGATTTGCTATTTTAGAATTTCAAATATGCTGTGAATTATTATTAAACTGCAGGATAATCGTGTGGTTGGTGCAATGCAATTGTATAGTACAGAGAGGAAGGTATCACAACCAATCGAAGGACATGCAGCATGCTTCGTGAGCTTTAAAGTTGAAGGGAATCCACATCCTAGTAATTTATTCTGCTTCTCTGTTCGAACCACGCAAGGCGGAAAGGTTATTGTTTTTTTTTTTTTTATTTTTGTTATATATTAGACTTATTGGATAAAATGACTATGAAAAGTTGATACAATAAAAATTACTTCTGCATCTATGGAAGGAGTTTGCAAGACGCAGATCCTTCCGTAGGCACAGCTTTTTTGTTTCTGAAAAAGTTGTTCAGTCAAGGAAGGATAAATTATACGTGCCTTTTATAGTTCATACCATCAAATTCTTTAATGGTGTGTCTTCCGCCAAATGCAACATATTTCGGTTTTCAATTTCTTGCCAACGGTAGTAGATGTTTTTGTTATGTATATTAGCTTCTCACAAGAGGATTGTAACAGTTATGATTAATTTGTTTTAATTTTCAGTTCTAAATCGACAATGATTATTTCAGCTTCATGTTATCGAGGTAGGTAGCCCACCAACTGGTAATCAGCCTTTCCAAAAGAAGCAGGTAGAAGTGTATTATCCAGCCGAAGCTGCTACTGATTTCCCGGTTGCAATGCAGGTATTTGCTTGCTATTTAATAATCTAAAGTAAAGTAGGAAGTATGAGATAATTTGGAAGCAAGGATTAGAATATTTACTATAAAACTTACATTATAGATAAGATGGATTCGTCTTGGTAGGGTCATTAATTTTTGCTTAGGTAGTATAATGGCTCTCTGTAATTCAATATGGTAATACCATACATTCTTCATACAACTGTATCAACAATATACATAAAGTCGGATCAATTTTGTTAGTATAATATGGCAAACATTTCAAATAAAAATCATCAGTTGAGCCGAAAAATGCACGGTCTCTTTAGGACTTGAACTTACGTCTTCAATTTTACTTGAATAGTCATTATTATATAGTTGTTTATTATTAATAGTAAATACTTTGCCATCAACATATATATGTATATGGTAATCTCAGAAGTGCCCTACATTTATCGAAGTGAGCAGAGATGAGGAGAGAAAAAAAGAGAAAAAAGGAAAAAATAGCTTGATATGTCAAGCCTGCCTTAAGTGCGGAGACATATCCGCTCCTTAAGGCAAGTTTGACATATCAAACAAATTTTTGGATTGCACTTGACTTAGTCGTATGAATCACACTTTTGTGTTGGTAATTTTTGTCGCAGGAATAGAAATTTCTTGTTGCTTTAATCCTCCTCGTTAAAAGGAACTAAATGGAATTCGAGTTTTTTTGCCTCAAACTTTAAAGTGCAGTAATTGACTCCATCTGTTACTTGTATATTGTTGAACAGTTTGGAAATCCAACAGTCAAAGTGGAATAAAAAGGAAATTAAACTATAGGCCTCATCCAAACACGGCATCATATATCTAGTGACGAAATATGGCTATGTACATTTATATGATATCGAGACAGCAGTATGCATTTATATGAATCGAATCTCATCAGAAACTATCTTCGTCACTGCCGAATATACTGCTACCGAGGGAATAATTGGTGTGAATAGAAAGGGACAGGTATTATTTCTATCACTCTGCTGAGCTACTTAAATCTGTAACTGTTGTCATTTTGACCAGCAAACATTAATGTAGATTAATTGTACAACTGAAAGCAATATAGGCATTAGATATACTTCGCTTGATGCGCAAAACCCACTTATTTGGTAACTCAGACTTCTTACTAATCTTAGTAATTTTTGAGTGATTTAGTATCCATACAGATAGGTGTTTATTGAACATAAAGTTTAACCCAGTATCTTGCCACTGTTTTATATTTTGAAACATCTTGAAAAAAGGATCCACGTTATGCATTTTTAGGTTCTATCAGTAAGTATTGATGAGCAAAATATGATCCCATACGTGACACAAACGTTGCAAAATCCGGAGCTTGCGTTGAAACTAGCAGTACGTTGCGACCTTCCAGGAGCTGAAGAATTATTTGTTCGTAAATTTAATTTGCTTTTCGGCAATGGGAACTATTCTGAAGCTGCAAAAGTTGCTGCTACTGCTCCTCAGGTGATTATCTCTTTTTATGCATGTTTCAGAAAATTTCTGGTCAATTTGTTTAATTATGTTACATAGGTTAGTCGATGTTGTGAATTCAAATCCTGACTAATTTTTGATGCCTACTGTATATATGATGCATATATGATTGGTTTATATTCATGAAAATGGGGGTATTAGGTTTGTTCATGGACAGTAGGAATGCTTGTTGTTGCAGGGAATTTTAAGGACACCGCAGACAATCCAGAAGTTCCAACAATGTCCGCACAGCGGCGGCGGACCAAGCCCTCTACTCCAATATTTTGCAATATTACTTGATCAAGGCCAACTGAACAAGTATGAAACGTTAGAGTTGTGCCGACCAGTACTAGCGCAGGTAATGTTTCTTCGCTTTGATATTTGGTGCAGTTCAGAAAACTGACGAACAGTGAGGGAATTAAAAAAGTAGATTTGATTCATCTTTTATATATTTTATTTGAAGGGATCTTCAGAAGCATTTTTTTTTACTCTTGATTGAAAAATCTGTGAAGAACGCCACGAGCAGTCCAAAAAATTTATTGGATAAAAAACTTCTTAATTCAATTTATAGGGAAGAAAACAGTTGTTAGAGAAATGGCTTACTGAGGGAAAACTTGAATGCAGTGAGGAATTAGGAGATCTAGTCCGTCCACATGATGTCAACGTTGCACTCTCTGTTTATCTTCGTGGTAACGTTCCTCATAAGGTTTGCGTGTTTATAAATATGTTTGACTGATGAGTTCATCAGTTTTACTACATTTGTTAGATTGGTATTCCGCAGTTATTACTTTTTAAAAAACTAGTCATGAGTAAAATCAATTAACATTCGAAATAAAATATTTATTCATCAGTTCGATAGAATATTACCGACGAATAAATGAGAACTTATTTGACAGGTTGTCCAGTGCTTCGCTGAAACAGGACAATTTGATAAAATTATTTTATATGCTAAAAAAGTGAATTTCGAGCCTGACTATTTATTTCAACTCCGACAAGTATTACGCTCGAATCCGGAGATGGGAGCTAAATTTGCACAGATGCTTGTGTCAGAAGGTGAAAATGAACCGTTAGCCGATATTAACCAGGTAAATTGCATGATAACTGAATTGAGAAGTAGTACATTGGAAAATATTATGTTTATTAATATAATTGTGAGTAAGCTTTCGAAAAATATTTGCACGAAGTTGTGCAAACAGAAATACAGTGAAGTTGGTCCTTCAGCTCTTTAAAATTGTGGACGAGAAAGTGAATTGAGTGAATTGCACTGTTTAGGTTTGTTTTGCCTCATGACCATGAATAAGTTGTTTGGTAATTTTCGGTAAGTCGAAGGATGATAATTCGATTTATAGATAGTTGGATGTTTCGAGGAAGTGCAAGCAATACAACCATGTACATCGTTCTTGCTTGAAGTTTTAAAAAGCGATAAGGAGTCGGAAGGACATCTTCAAACAAAACTGCTTGAAATGAATCTTCTTTATGCTCCACAGGTTGGTATATAAATTGAAAGATCTAGGCCAACTCTTTGATCTTACACAAGATTTCAATCTTCTTTTTAAAAGAGCTGCGAATCAGAACGAAGGGTTGAATTAAGTGGTTTTGAGATTGCTGTTATCGTTTCAGGTAGCAGATGCCATATTAGGTAATCAGATGTTTCATCATTATGATCGTGCAGCGATTGGACAATTGTGTGAGAAAGCAGGTTTATTGCAACGAGCTTTGGAGCACTTCACCGATCTATATGATATCAAAAGAACCGTTGTTCACACTCAGCATCTTAAACCTGATGTTTGCTTTTTTTTATTACATCAGTTATATAAATTTTTGTATTGAATTTAACAAGCTGACGTAAGAGCAAAGAAATTTTGAATGCTGTACGAAAATATGCATGAATTACAGTGGTTGGTGAATTACTTTGGGCAGCTGTCAGTGGAGGATTCATTGGAATGTTTGAAAGCGATGTTACAAACAAACATGCGACAGAACTTGCAAATTGTTGTCCAAATAGCCACTAAATACCATGAACAGCTTACCACTCACGCGCTTATTGACCTGTTTGAATCGTTCAAAAGTTATGAAGGACTGTTCTATTTCCTAGGTTCTATTGTTAATTTCTCGCAGGATCCTGAAGTTCATTTTAAATACATACAGGTATGTTGTGATAAAAAAATAGTGAAAATAATGTTACAACTTAGAGATAATTGATTTCATCGAATAATTAGAAAATCTTAGTGGTGGTCAGATCACTGATATCTATAATATTTTGTTTCATGCGGGTTGGTATAGATGTGATTATCATTAATGAAGATAAGTTTTCAAGTAATTACTAGTAAGTATAAAGTGGAGACTTTTACCAAGCACTAGTAATGTTAAATGTATCTGAAATAGAACGAAAAGATCTGCTTTTATTGCAGGCTGCTACTAGAACTGGACAAATCAAAGAGGTAGAAAGAATTTGTCGTGAATCAAATTGTTATGAAGCGGAACGAGTGAAGAATTATTTAAAAGAGGCTAAATTAACAGACCAGTTGCCTTTGATCATTGTATGTGATCGACATGATATGGTACACGATCTTGTCCTTTACCTTTATCGAAACAATCTACAGAAATATATCGAAGTGTTTGTGCAGAAGGTTATCTTTCATTCGTTCATATTATATCGTCACTGAAGCACATTATATATTTTTTCAAGTTTTCAATCTTCTTGCTGCATTTTTGATATTGCAAATATAGCTGAATAAATATGCTTTGTTTAGGTGAATCCGGCACGATTACCAATTGTTGTTGGGGGTTTATTGGACGTAGATTGCTCGGAAGATGCAATCAAACAGCTCATCATAAATACAAGAGGAAAATTTGATATAGATGAATTGGTCGAAGAAGTAGAAAAGAGGAATAGGTTCCTTTTTGGGTTTTTTATTTGGTAAAATTTGCCGTCAAGATAGTTAAAGAATAGTAGGAAGTAAACTGTGATCTTTCTATTGTGGCAGTATGAAATATATGGTGCCGGTTTTTAGATTGAAACTATTAGCGCCATGGCTAGAGATGCGTGTTCAAGAAGGAACTACTGATTCAGCCACGCATAATGCCCTTGCTAAGATCTACATTGACGCCAATAACAATCCTGAACGATTTCTTCGCGAAAATCCGTATTATGATTCACGGATTGTCGGGAAGTATTGTGAAAAAAGAGACCCACATTTTGCTTGTCTCGCGTATGAACGTGGTCAATGTGATGCCGAACTTGTTAATGTAAGTTACAGTTTTTGTGTATCGAATGATTAT